TGTGTGTTCAAAGAATAGTAAATGCTCATTTTATGTTTGTTTGTTTTTGCGGTTCTGGGCTTTGAACTCAGCCTACACCTAGAGCCACTCCACCAGCTCTTTTTTGTGAAGAGTTTTTTCAAGATAGGATCTCCCGAACTATTTGCCCGGGCTGGCTTTGAACCGTGATCCTCCTGATCTCTGCCTCCTGAGCAGCTAGGATTACAGGCTGAGCCACGGGCACCCGGCGATTTTTTTTTTTTTGGCAGCGCTGAGGTTTGAACACAAGGCCTCATGCTTGCTAGGGCAGGCACTCTTGCTGCTTGAGTCACTTTGTCAGCCCTTTTTTGTATTGGGTATTTTTGAGATAGAGGCTCACAAACTATTTGCCCAAGGCTGGCCTTGAACCTCCTGAGTGGCTGGGATTACAGGCGTGAGCCACAGGTGCCCGGCTTTCTGATAGTTTTGAAAGCAGCTGTAATTGGTAGAAAGTACACATAAGGAAAATGATGAAGTTGCCTGTGCTGCTTCTACCTAGTGATAATTGTAAACATTTTGGAACACGTCGTTCCCTTTCTTTTCCAGTTTCTCCTTTCTCTTCCTCCACATTTCAGTGCTTCTTTTGCTTTAATGCACTCACACTTGACATAGTTTATTACTGGTTTGCTCACTTGACATTATTTTATGCACCGTTCCATATTCTCTCACATGACTGCTAAATAGCTGAATAATTCTCCTCTGAGTAGAACTATCCTAATTTATCTCAGTGATCCCCTACTATTGGACAGCAAGCGTGCTTCCTCCTTCCCGCCTACTGCAAGTAGTCGTCACAAGGTGCTTAAGCTTGGACTTTCTGGTTCAAGCTCAGCCTCCCCACCTGTTAAATGGGCGCAGGAATTTCTACCCACTCTGATTGGTATGAGGATTAAACACTGAGAACCAATCCATGGGAAAGTTTTGCCCCCATTTTACAGATAAGGAGTCTGGGGTTCAGAGGTTAAGTGACTTGCCCAAGGTCACCCAGCTTCCACCTGGAGTTTTCTGTTTGCCACCTGCCCACAGCCACCCATGAGCATGGCAGGGCTGACTGTGTTGGCAAATGGTATAGGGAATCCAGGAGGCTTCTGGTTAGAAGATAATCTCTGATCACCTCAGAGATCAGCCCAGTAGCCCCAAGTTCCAAAGCGCAGAGAAGAAAAGACACTTGTCCCAGGTCTCACAGACTGCATGGTGGGTCTCCACTCCCCAAGCCAGGTTTCCAGCCATTCTTGGTCTGCCCCTGCGTCCTCACCTGCCTCCCACCCTGCCTCCCTGTGGGTTTTAACCATAAGTCAGCCAGCCACTTGGGTAGGAAGGAGGGTGGCCTTTTCATCTCTTCCCCAGGGAAGGGGGCAGGGGGCTCAGGAGGCTAGGGGTAGTGTAAGGGTTGTGCTCTCAAAGTGGCCACCCAGCCACTGATTTCCCCAGATGGCCAAGAAGCCAGTGGCCCCACCACCCCTCCAGACCTTGGGACATGGTGTGAAAGGCGACTGTGCAGGGTGCACTGCCAGGCTCATGAAGTCCCGGGTGTGCCCCGGGCTCACCAGAGGCTTAAAGAGAAGGAGCTGCTTCCGGTCTGGTTAGATGTGGCGCTTAGAGGGCTCAAAAAGAAGGGTGGAGGACAGCAGGAGGGGGTGGCCACAGGGTGGGTAGTGAGAGTGTGTGAGAAATGCCACCGTGGGGTGAGAGCAGTAGGATCCAAGGCTTGGAAGGCTTACTGGGTGCACGGGAGGGGGAACGAGGACTAATTTCTTCCTCCTGGGGCCTTGGTGTTCTCGCCTACTCAGTGGCCTAATGCTCCCATCTTGCCCACTTCACACAGCATCCAGCACTGCAAAGGACGAAGGAGCCCGATGGAAACCCAAAGGCTCTGTGCAGAGCCCAGGCCTCGTTCTGAAGGAGTGATGGGCAGTTAGTGTGTCTCGGGCCCTGCTGTCTACTCACCGTGCACAGGTGTTAGTGCTCACTGCCACCTGCAGGGGTGGGTACAAGCTTGGTCAGCAGGAGCTGGTCCTCGCTTATTGGAGTCTCTACCAGCACTCAGCAGCTTTGTGACCTTGGGTACGTTTCTTGGGCCCTCGGAGACTCTGTGTGCCCAGCTATAAAATGGGCACATAACACTGTGTTGCTGGATTGTTAAGAGTTTATGGGTCAAGCTCCGGCAATCGCTAGGCTTAGCTGGTGATCTGCATACATTGATGGCATTTCTATTGCGGGTCGGCCTGTGCTGGGTACAGGGGACGCAGTGGTGAGGGCCTCACGGGGGTCCCGGGTGAGTCAAGAGACCAAAGTGGGTAAAATCTTCAGAGTATTGTAAGGACAAAGGTGGATCCCTGAGGAGGGCATGAAGGAGCCAGGTCTGCAGGAGGCCTGCAAGTCAGCAGGGAGAAGTGGGTCAGCTGGTGAGGAGGAGCCCGTCTCTGCAGCAGCAAGGAAGCCCTGAGTGCCGAGCGCACAAGCTGGAAGGGAAGATGGGGGAGAGGAGGCTGGAGCAGCGGCTCGCTGCAGGGCTGCATCTGCGTGTGTTCAGCACAGACAGGCTGGATTAGGAAGCCTGTTTTGGAAGACCCCGTCCATGCAGCGTGGGATGGGACTGGGGAAGCCAAGGGCACTCCAGATGAGGATGACGCAGGAGGCCACGTGGGGACACTGACATAAGGACAGATTCTGGTGAGATGTAGTAAACAGAGTCTACAGGACTTGAGGATGGATTGGTTAAGTGGCGAGGGTGGCTTGTGTACCTGAGTGAAGGAGGGTATGCAGGGGACAGGCACTCGAGCTGGAGAGCAAAGATAGGGTGGAGGAGGGGAGCTATGGGTGACAGGGACAGTGTGGCTGGAGGCTGCTCCTAAGAAGAGCCTGGGGTGATCCAGGAGGCATGGGGCGTGCCCGCCAGCAGCAACCACCTGGTGTTGATGGCAGTGCCGCCTGCGTTAATGACCAGGTGGGTGAGTGAGTGACAGGATGTCAGGGCAGCCCGCCCCCCACACAATGGCCCACGTGGTCATCAGAGCTGGGAAGGGAAGGGCTTCACTGGGGTTTGGCTGTGTTCCAGGTGGGCCTGGGGCTGCAGGCAGAGCCCGCCACCCAGATGTGGATGGAAGGCAGGGAAGGATTGGAGGAGGTGGGTGGTTACTGGGATAAGAACATCTGGTCCTAGTCCTGGATGTGCCAGACCCTTGCAGGCTGACCTTGGGAGACAGAGTTCATTCATTCAGTCATTCACTTATTCATTCATTGAATACGGTCATCAGCCCCTGCGTGCCGGGCTCTGGGAAAGGTGTTCAGAGCAGGACATGCACCTAAGCCAAGGCAATAGCTTACTGACAATGAAATAGCTCCTAAGGACAGTGCTCAAGGTCCCCTGCCACATGCTTGCCAGGAGTCACCTCACAGAACCCTGACAGCTGTCCCACGAGGCACCACTCTGTTTATCCCAGGAAACTTACTTAGGCTCACAGAGGCAAAGCCTCAGGCTACAGGGCCAGCAGAAGGTGGGGTTTGGATTGAAGCCTGGGAAGATTCATTGTTCACTCCCTCTCGGGCAGGTCCCCAACCTGGCTGGTGACCACAGCCCTGAGGGATTTCGGACCACTCCGAGGCTGCTGTTGTGCTTTCCTTTGTTTCCTGACTTAGAATCTTTGGATCAAGGTGGGGCAGAGTTGGGAGCCAGGCAGAGCCTGTGGGGCGGCTCCTACCTGGCCTGCTCTGCTCCAGTGCACAGCCCTGCTGGGCTCAGGAAACCCTGTGGCTCCAGCCTTGGGTCTTTGTACTGACCCTTCTGGAACGCTCGGCCCAGCCCTACGGATGGCTTGCTCTTGCCCACCGTCTTGCCAGTCCCTTATTTGAAGTCACCTCCTCACAGAAACCTTTCTGCTGTCCTGACTCTCCTCCCCAACCTGTTGCTCCCAGTCCCGGGGTCCTCCACCAGGACACCCTCCTCTGCCACCTGGGACGTGAAAGCTGGTGCAGAGAGACTGATTGTGTTGGTACCCCACTGACCATCAGCCTCAGAAGATCCAGGGCAGCCTGGGTCACGCATTACCTTCCTATCCCTGATCTGCCCTGGGACACCTCGCCCCCTGAAATGACACATGCAGTTCTTTACTGTCTGTGACTCCACTGGAGTGGCGAGCCTGGTGTGACCTGTCTACGCTGCCATGCTCCCTGCTGCTGCCACACAGCAGGAGCACACTGAGAGCCTGTTGTGTGAGTAGAATGCTGAGGGTTTTAGGGGGAGCCTGAGGAAAGATAGAGTGTCCACTGGAATCAATCTGTCCCCTGATCTCTAGGGAGCCTTGCAAGAGAACTTCCAACAATGAGGAACTTCATCTGTTCAGCCAGTTCTCCACCTCTATGTTGCCTGGAAAGCTAGCAGCAAGGTGACCTCCAGGCCAGGACAGTGGGTGAGATGGCAGGAATTGTGGCAGCCTTTCTGAGATGCATATTGACAGTTAGGACAGAGAGAGCTGAGCATTGGGTCTGAGCCCACTGTATAGATAGGCACTGAGGCCTAGTGAGGGAGGGAGCCTCAGCCACGATCATGAACACGCATGACTGCAGAGAACCTGGAGGGTAGACCCTATGGAACAAGCTCCCAGAAGCAAAGAGCAAGCCAGGAGGCTATAAGGGTCTCCTCCCAGGCTCGGCATGCTGTGTGGCCTTGGCCAGGCCTCTGACCTTGTCTGGGCTTCAGTCTGCCTAGCTGTACCTGGAGGGCAGTGGCCAAGATGATCCCAAGACCAAAGGTCAGAGTTCTGTGAGCCCATTCCTGATAGCACAGCCCTGCAGTTGAACCGCAAGGAGTTAAGCTCCTGGCTCTTGCTCTGCACGCAGGCAAACCCCCTCCTTCTGACAAACACTTGTAGGAAATCAGGCTGGGCGCTTCCTGCAAGGAGGAGGAGGAGGAGGGCGGCAGCAGCGGGCCTCAGCTGCAGGGGCGGGGAGAGGTGGGGAGCGATGCTTGTCTGTGAACCACAGCTCCGGCTGGCAGAACAGGCTGGAGGCGGGCCAGGGCGCAATGGAGGCAGGGGGCTCCCCAGGTTTGGAACAAAGACCTCACAGGCAGGTCCCCTGAGCCCCAGCCGGCAGGATGGTGGTGGATTCCCAGCGAGGTAAGGGAACTGACCCGAGTGGGAGGGCCAGTGGGAAGGCCGCCTTCACTCTGGACAGGCCAGTCACAGACTCTCTGGGACAGTCCGCCAGTCCCTCGCAGCCGGACCAGCCCAGTCAGGAAGTCGCAGCTCTGCAGCTGTTACCACTTCTTTCCGGGAGTGGGGATCTTGGGGGGATTTTGCCCACCCTTGGGAGGCTGGATTCCAGCCCCAGCTCTGAGTGTCCTGAACTTGGATGAGCGTTGCTGCCTCTCTGCGTCTGGGAAGTCCTCATTTCATGGCGAGTTAGTTCCTGGGCTGCTAAGGGACCTTCAGGGACATGCAGGGGTGGATTTGCAGGGGAGGCCTGAGGAGTGGACCCCCTCTGCCTCGTATGGACAGGGAAAGGAGCCTCGATGTTCTGAGGGCCACGATGGGGAGATCAGAGTTGGCAACAACACGGCTCCTTTTCTTTCTCTCTGGCCTCGGCTGGTTTCCGCACAGCTCGGGCAGCCCCTTATGAGCAGAGGTCTGTGCCCTGGCAGCTGGTCAGGCTGGCTGCTGAGCCAACTGCCCAGCCTTTTAGGAGAGTCCAGCCAGTTGATATGTGGGTCTTCCTGCCCCCGTCACTCCAGTGGCCTTGGTTTCAGTCACAGCACCCAGCTTTGAATCCCTAAGTTGCATTTTCTGGTTTTCAGGTCTTGTGAGAGCATGCCCCTTCTCCGTGCCTCAGCTTAACTTCTATCAGAGCGGGAGGGGCTGGGGGAGTGCCTAGGACAGTCCTAGTAGGATGGGAAAGGGCTTCCAAGGGCCAAGGAGGCCGCAGTGGACTGTGCGGCTCCTGGAGTTTGTAGGATCTGAGCGACTGAGCCAGAGCAACGGTCTTCAACTTGGGAATGACTGAGGGGCAGGAGGCCCCCTTCTGTGTGGAGTGGTGAGGAAGGGGAGTCTGGCTGACCAGGAACAGAAAAGAGATCACCGGGGTCTGTTGGACCCTGGAGGGGGTATGGCCCAGTGGGGTCGCATGGGATGGGGACAAAGGTGCCAAGGAGAGTCAAATGACTGGTACTTTCTCCAGGGCAGGTGGGAAGGAACCCGTCCTCAGGGGCCTTAGTCTCCTTGGGACTGGTGTCCCTGGATGAAGACCCAGCTCATATGAAAGGTGCTCATCCCCCACTGCAGCCCTATGAAGCCTGACTGGATTACCCTGCCTTTGTGTGGCTTCCAAGGTTCCCTGCCCGCTGTCCCTAGGTCATTGTTTCAGACCTCCATGCCTTTGCCTACGCTGTGCCCTGTGCCGCCTCATTCTCCCAAACCTATTGCCTCACACCTGCCCTAAAACCTCCTTCTCCAGGGACCCTGCTGTGTCTGCCTGCCAGCTGCACTCTAGAAAGCGTTGGTTCTTTTCTGTGCTCCTGGTGCTTAGGGAGTGCCTGGCGTACAATAGGATGGTCCTGGGGTTTTGGAAAGTTGATTTGTACCCGCTGGGTGCTCGGTATGGCTCTCTGGTCCTTTGAAATGGGACCTCAGGGAGGAGGAGGGAGGGAAGTTGAGGGCTGTCACCCTCAAGAGCTGAGTCAGTGAGAACCTCAAAGTTCATTTGTCCCCACCCCAGCCACCCCACCTACCCAAGCAGAGTGTCCCTCCTTTTTTTCGACCCAGCCATAGCCATGATCAGCTGCAGCACAAGGCTGCTGGCACCTGCCCACCTGACACATAGCCTGCTTCTCTGCCATAACTTCATCCCAGTCTCAGGTTAGCATGTGATCGGCAGTAATAAGTGTTTGCTAGCTGACTGGACTCTGTAGTACTGAGGGCTGTGACTTCCCTGGAAGGGCCTTGCTCAGGACAACCTCACAGGGCTTGGGGCCTGAGGGGCAAGTCAGACACCGCAGCTGCCACTGACATGCAGTGGCCCCTTGTCACAGTGAGATTTCTGCAACCACTGAGTCATCCCAGAAGGCAGGATGTTCCTCTTTGTGCACGCAGAGGCCTCTGTGACTGGACCGGCTGCTCTGTAGCAGGGCTAGAAAAAAGCCCTTTACAAAGTCAGAAAACCGCACGCCTCCCCCAGCCCTTGCTCAGCGGAGGCTGCAGAAAGAGAAAAACGGCAGCTAAGCCCTGGCACCTGCTCCACTTGCCCCAGGAGCTGGAGTGGAAGAGGCCTCGTCTCAGGCCCCGACTCAGTGCAGATTCTTGGGCCCCATGGCAGGGCCATTGAGCCAGGCTCACGGAGGTGTGTGTATCTGCAGGCTTAGAGGATTCGTACTCATCCTCAAGGTTGAGATGCCTTCCAGAGAGGTCCAGCAGGGGACCAGCCTCTTCCATGCAGAGGGCATGGAAGCGAAGATTCAGACAGTTATTTACAACGCTTATTCTCAGCCAGGCATGGTAGTACACACCTGAACTTGGAGGCTAGGGCCAGCTGGTGGCTCAAGTGGTAAAGCACCTCCCTAGCAAACCCAAGGTCCTGAATTCAACCCCCAGTATCATTAGGGGCCAAAAAATCTTTGCTCCAATACTCAGAGGGTGAGGCTGGAGGGTCATGTGTTGTGTTGCAAGGCCAGCCTGGGCTACATGGCAAGACCCTATCTCAAGAAAAAGGAGACAAAGCAAAAAAAATATTTTTGGCCCGGCTTAGTGGCTCATGTCTCTAATCCCAGCTACTTGGGATGTAGAGATCAGGAGGATCAGTTTGAGGCCAGCCTGAGCAAAAAGTTAGCAAGACCCCCATCTCATCAAATATGCCAGACACGATGGTTCATTCCTCTAATCCAAGCTGCTCAGGAGGCACAGATAGGAGGATTATGATCTGAGCCTGGCCTGGGGAAAAATATGAGACCCTGTCTGAAAAATAACGTAAAGCACACACATATATTGCATCTGTTTAAAAACTCACTTTTGGAAATATTCTTTCTACTACACATATATTAATATGTGTATATATCAAGATATAACAAATTGTGTGTGTGTGTTCATGTGTGTGTGTGTGTGAGTAAGTATATCCTTATTGATGGCTTGTGGGCCAGGACAGACAGCTGTAGATCTTTCCCTGGCACTGGTGGGTGATCTTGGCCAAATCACTGTTCTCTGCTGAACCTCAAATCTGTCACTGAAAAGCAGGTTTCCTGAGCTGGGAAGGCAAATGAAAGGCATTTAAGCAAAGTTTCTATCCAAGCCAGCAGTTGGTGATGCCGTATGTGGTGGGTATATGGGGCTGTGGGTTGGAAATTCTAGGGTTCTGCTTGTGGGGGTCAGAGAAAAGGACCAGGTGGAAGGGAAAGGAGAGAGCCCTTGAGCCCTGGTCCCCAGAGCTGGAGTCAAAGCCAAGGGCAAGAGCGCTATCCCCTGGCCCTTCCCCAGCCCTTCAGAAGCTGGCCTTTCTCAGGCTGCCCCATTCTCTGGGGACCTTTGTGTCCAGAAATAGTTGCCTGCTGACTTTTCTCAACTGTACAATACAAGGCTCCTGACCAGGATCCAAGAGCTCACGAGGTAGAGAACAGAATGTCTTTCTGAAGGCCGGAGTTGGACCTCCCTTGGCTACAGAGGGATGAGCCCGGGCTGTGCTGGGGGGCTGACTTCCACCCTAGGCTGGTCCTGAGCCCACTTTCAGAAGAAGGTCATTGTCTGAGCTAGGCTGCGGCCCTGCCACAGAGATGTTACAGTTCTCAGAGATTTCAGTGGTTTGGAGCTCCCTGGGTGAGCCATGCGCCCCACTGTCTGGTGTGTTTCCTGGGCCTAGCACAGTGCTTGGCACAGGAGCAACTGGGAAGGTGCTAGAGTTAGCAAGAAGGTGTGAAAGAGAGAGGAGAGAGGAGAGGAGAGGACAGGAGAAGAGAAGAGAAAATAGAAGAGCCCTCCTGCAGCCACTCTTCCTTTTCACCAGGCTTCCCGTCTGGTTCTTTGACGCTGCAGCCGGGACCACACACTCAGTGCCTCAAGGTGCCACCAGCAACTGAGCAGGACCTACCAAGAGGCCTGCCTGGGTCTGACCACCCCTGCCTTCTCACACTCCACATTGTCAATGTCACCCAGTCACCCTCAGCTTCTCAGGAAGCTGCTTCTGTGCAGGAATGTGCCTGGCAGGCTCAGCCCTTCCACCCAGCCTTTGTACTCACAGGTCCCCTTGCTTGGAATGCTCTGGGTTTTTTGGTGGTGGTGGTGGTTTTTTTAGTTGGTTTCATTTTGCTTTTGTGGTGGTGCCTGGGTTTGAACTCAGGGCCTTGCATTTGCAAGGCTGGCACTCTACACTTGGGTCATTCTCCCTACAGCCCTTTTTGCTTTAGGTATTTTTTCGGACAGGGTCTCTTGTTTATGCTTACACCTGTCTGAAAATCGATCCTCCTCTTTATCCTTCCATACTAGCTGGGATTGACAGGGGCATGCCACCATCCACAGCCTTTATTGGTTGAGATGGAGTCTCGAACATTTTACATGAACTGGCCTCAAACCATGATCCTCCCTATCTCTGCCTACTGAATAGCTAGGATTGCAGGCATGAGCCACCATGCCCAGCCCTGGTTTTCCTTTATTGAGAGGAAATTCGCATCACATAAGATCAACCACTTTAAAGTGAACGACTCAGTGACATTTAGTGTGTTCACTGTATTGTGTCAGTGTCCCCATTGTCTAGTTCCAGAACATTTTCATCACCCCAAAAGGAATCCCAGCCCCTCTGTGCAGTAACCTCATCTGGACATTTCATACACATGGACTTAGACACTCTGGCTTTTTGCATCTGGTTCCTCTTACTTAGCATGACGCTTTTGAGGTTTATCCACACTGCAACCTGGGTCAGACTTCATTCCTTTTTTTTTGCGGTTTTGGGGTTTTGAACTCAGGGCCTTCACCTTGAGCCACTCCACCAGCCCTTTTTTGTGATGGGATTTTTTGAGATAGGATCTCGCAGACTATTTGCCTTGGGCTAGCTTCTGACCTCAATCCTTCTGATCGCTGCCTTCTGAGCCACCGGCACCCAGCTCAGACTTCATTCCTTTTTAAATTCATTCCCTTTTATGCCTGAATACTGTCACCTCATATGTAGATAGCACAGAATGCTTATCCATGTGGGTGTTCATTTAGGCTTGTTTCCCCCTTTTGGCTATTGTGGACAGTTCCCCACTCCCCTCTCTGAACCTGAATCCACCCCTGGGAAGGGGCCCAGAGGAAGTGGCTTCTACACTGGCGCCTTCCCTGATTTCTGGGTCTCACCATCTCTTCCTGGATTGGATTCGCCTGGTTATCCATCTGGTACCCCAGCTGTCATTTCTCCTGAGAGCAGGGCCCGTGCACAGAGCTGGACACACAGTAGCAGTAGCTGGCACCCAGTGAACACCTGCTGGCCGGTGTGCTGGCTGTTAGATTTATTATCCTGTGCCCCAGGCAATTTTATAAAACTGGGGGCAGGGGAGAGGAGAGAGGAATTCTCATCCCACTTTCACTGATGGAGTACACAAGGACAGAGTGACTTGCCCAAGGTCACAAAGCTTGGGAGAATGGAGCCAGGTCTGATTCCTGGGTCCCAGTGGTAACTTCTTGTTTTACATAAAGGAGGGATCTCAAAAATTAATGTCCCTCGGTCATGTCCCTGACAGGCCACAGGCAGGATGGCCAGTGCTGAGAGGAGCCAGTGGTGACTCTGGGGCCCCCAGCAACAGCTCTGTCTCCTGAAGATGAAGTGGCCCAGGTGAAGCCCAGGCCAGGCTGATGGCCAGCTCGGGGATGGAGGTGCGCTGGGCTGGGCCTGGCTTGGGGAAAGGGCCCCAGCGGCGGCGCTGGGCCTGGGCCGAGGAGAAGAATGCAGATGGAAGCAGTGCACAGGGCTGGAAGGACAACGCCACCAGCCCGGAGCTCCTGGAGGACTTCCGCCAAGCACAGCAGCACCTGTCACCCCTGGAGTGGGACCCGGACCCGCAGGGGTTGGAAGAGTCTTTGGGAGCAGGTGAGACTGACACCCCCAGCCCCACAGTGGTGTCCTGGGTCCAAGCATCCCATCTTCCAGCAGAGGGAGGGGTGGGCAGTTTTACTTTTTTTGTGGTCTTTATTTTACAGTTCTACGTTTTAAAATTAAATTCTACAGCCTATAATTTAACTTTTTAAGATTTAAATTGCATAAATAATACCACTGATTGCAGAAAATATAATCAAAAACAGGTGAAATTTAAAACTACCCACTATCTTATGCCATCCCCAGATTTTTTCGATGGGTATGGATATGCAAATGTGGTATGAATATGCAACAGTATTCTGCATACTCTATTATCAATGTGTTTCTGTTAACTTACTAGATAGGAACATTTTCCCAGCATTCCAAACGTTCTTCCACAAGTCTCTCCTACTGCCTGTGTAGAATCCATTGGGCTAGACATTTAGGTGGCCTCTCGCTTTTTGCTGTCATCAGTCAGGCAGAGATGAAGGTCTTTATGTACATCTTTGCACTCTTGACTCGATGATGTCTTGGGTAATTTGAGTTGTTTGGTGCAGGGATGATGCCTATTTTAAAGATTTTTTAACATGCCAGTTAGCAGGTGAATGCAGGCAGTCTCTGGTTTCTACAGCCACCATGCTCCCTTTGCAATGAGAGCAAGTCCTTCTCCTCTCTGAGTCTCACTGTCCCCATCTGTGAGATGGGATAATAGCAAGAGCTTTCTATGTGGTACCTGTTACACCAAGATTAAGAACGAACGAAATGCCCCCATTTTAGCCTTCCATGAGCCGGCTGACCTCTGGGATGAGAGAGGAGCCATCAGGGTGGTACACTGCACTGTTCCCTGATGTCTCATGCCTGCTCTGCCTAAAGCGGGGCTCACCCCCAGCTCCCCACTCAGGAGCCAGTTCCCGGATCTCCCTCAGGGAGCGGGACTGGGATGCCCTGGGTTTCATGGCAGAGAGGTGTCTTCCTGGGGTCACATGGTAACCCCTGCTGTGATGTGACAGCTGCTTCCATGTCCTGTGCCTTTACTGTGTGCCAGGCACAGGGCCAGCCTTGTCCGGCCTTCTTTCCCTTTCTCCCTCCACCCCACCCTCTGCCAGTCAGGAGAGACAGGCCTCCACTTTGAACAAGGACTACCAGAGGTCAGCGACTTACCCATAGTCCTCAGGGATCAGAGGTGCTAGAGTGAACCTAGGACTCCCTGGCCTCGAGGCTGGTGTTCTTTACCCCACTGCATGACCCCAGGAATAGACACAAACTTGCCTGCATGACTAGGTCCAGGACCTCTCTGAGCCACTGTGTGATCTTTGAAAAGTTACTTAACATCTCTGGGCCTTGGGGACTGCTATAAACAAGAATGACTTGCTGAAGGAAGTTTTAAACAGTCAAGGATGTGACAGTTGCAGGGAGGTGGGGAGAGGAAAAAAGCATGGCGGAGCAGTGATTGATATGAGAGTGATTGATACGAGAGTTAAGGTGCATCCAGCCAGGGCAGAGTCTGTGCTTGGTATTACTCATTCTGTGTTTTGTGAAACTCGGGGTCTATCCTAGAGTCCAACATGAGTCTACGGTGGAGTAGATTCTCAATAGGCATGACTGCATAGAATGGATGGATGGATGGATGAGCAGACAGATGTATATGGATGGATGGATGTGTGATGGATAGGTGATGGGAGAGTGGGTGTGTGGGTGGGTGGGTGCTGGATGGGTGCATACTTGAAAGGATGGATGGGTGGGGGATGGGTAAATATTTCTTGAGTACCTGCTACATAGCAATTACAACAGCTACCTATTTTGGGGGAAGTTTGATGAACCTTATCTTCTTCCCTGCATTATTTCCTTTTGTTTGGTCAGTGGACAGTGTTGCACACCTCTATAAATCCAGTGGCAAACAAAACCAGCCAGTGTCTTTGTCCTTATGCAGCTTACAGTGTCTTTCAGAGGCCATTATTGATGAAATAATCACACAGATAAGTGCCACTGTGGTGATATAACACAGTAGAGAGAACAGGGAGAGTTTGACCTAGTTAGGGAGTTCCAAGACTTCCATGGTGATGTCAAGCTTGAGCTCATATCTGAAAGACAAATGAGCTTCCTAGACCAAGGAAGGAAGAGAGGACCTCTGGCACAAGAGTGCGCATGTGCACAGTGCTTGTGGTGAGAGGGAATGGCGTGTGTGGATCAGGTGGAGCAGGAAGAGACTGAGAGGACCATGGAGACAGATGGCTCAGGGGAGCTGATGAGTTACAGCCATAAGGACTTAGGACTGTGATAAAGGCTGTGCTTTGTTCTGGGAACTACAGGGAGAGATGCAAATGAGGATGTTGATTGAAGAGGTGGTTAGGTGACAACTGCAGTAGTCCAGGCATAAGAAGACTTCAGCTTGAGCACAGGGGATGTGGTGGACTCCAGAGTCATAGGTGAGTTTTAGGGCTCTGTAAGAGGCAACTGTGGCAAGCCAGGAGACATACTGGATCAGGAGGCTAAGGAGAGAGAAGTGACAAAGATGTGTCCCAGACTTACAGCCGGTACACCTGGATGGGATGGTGGTGCTGTTTGCTGAGCTTGGGTTTGACAAACCTTTGAGACAATCAGAGGAGGAATCGTGTGGGTATCTGGATGTGTATGTGGGGGATCCTTGAGTTTCTTGCCAGGAAGCAAACGCCAGAATGTTGGGGTCGTGTTACACAGAACCCAGACTCTGCGTGTGCTAAGCTGTAAATGGCCTCTCTTTGCAGGGACTGAAGCAGAGGATGTGGACAGCCCAGAAAGTTCCACCCTACCTCTCCCCTGGCTTCCCCAGCAGGATGGTCAACTAGACGTGACTGGAGAGGAGCCCAATGAGGCAGGGAACCCCAAGGGCAAGGCTACTGGAGAGAGCTCGCCAAGCCCGGGCTGTGAGACTGCTTTGCTCCTGGAAGATGAGGGAGACGCCAGCCCCATGGCTCTGGGATGGGGTCAGGCCACAGGCTGGGTGGACACCGACCAAGAAGCCAGGGGAAACGGACCTTCAGAACCTCCAGAGGTCCACCAGTCTGCTGAAGTTTGCTTGGCAAGGTTCTGGAGCAGTGGGACTGTGAGCCTCGGCCACCCAAGTGACAGCCTTGATTCCACCTGGGAAGAAGAGACTGATATCCCCCAGCCCACTGCTCTGAGAGATGCCCTTCCACAGAGCCCCCACCACCACCACCTGCCCCCAGATGACAGAACCAGAGGTGGCGTTGCTCTGGCAACGCCCACGGAATTCCAGTACTGTTCGGCACTACCAGTCCAGAGTCCCCTGCACACCACAGGTAGAGGGGGGAGAGAAACCACTGGTCTATCCAGCCCACGGCCTAAGGACCAAACCTGGAAGCAGACGAAGACCTCAGTTAAGCCTCTACCCTCCCGATTCACCGGCTCTATCAGCCCCCTGAATCCTCAGCCTAGGCCAGCACAGAAAAACAGGTCACAGCCCAGGCAGGGAGCCACTCTGGCTAGCCACTCCTCTTCTGATGCCCCCAAGTACGGCCGGGGACGTCTGAACTACCCACTCCCTGATTTCTCTAAGGTGGGACCCCGGGTGAGGTTCCCCAAAGATGAGAGCTATCGTCCCCCCAAGTCTAAGGGCCACAACCAGCAGCCGCAGGTCCCCACTGGGCCCCTGATCTTCAAGTCACCCGCAGAGATTGTGCGTGAGGTACTGCTGAGCGGTGGAGAAGCCAAAGAGCCACCTGCCGACCACCCCATCACCAGGATACCCCAGGAGTTCCAGACGCCTGAGCAGGCCACTGAACTGGTCCACCAGCTGCAGGTAAGCAAGACTGCAGTCTAGGTATGTCACCCAGGCTCCTGCTAGCCTGGGATGGAGGCAGGTTGGGGTGGGGTGGCCTTGTGCCTGGGCTAGAGCCCCCCATTGGTGGTGAATAGGTTGTCCCTGAGCTGTGAGACACACTTGAGCCCTTTGCTCAGAAAAAGCAGTAGTTGTGCCCCTGTTTGAAAGATGATCTGTGGTATGTTTTCAGTTTCTATTATGAAAAAAATTCGAACATGTTCAGGAATGAAAATAGGTTGTTTAATGACCTTACCCCTTAGTGTCCAGCCTTTTCCCTCTATGCCAGACCTCCCCCCACCCCAACTACCCCCACTGGATTATTTTTGAAGCAAAATTTCAGGCAAGCAATCATTTTGTATTTAGTGTGTCTATGTCTAAAGACAAGGACCTTATTTTAAACATAACCACAATACTGTTATCACACCTGCAAGTGAAAGCCAAGTCCACAATGCTTTTAAAAAGTACAATCTTCCCTCATCAACACACTACCACTGAGTGGTAGGAGCCAGCCTGCTGCGTGGAGCTCCAGAATTGGGATGTGAGTTCAGCACTGCTTGGCAGCGAAGGTGTCTGTACACCTGCTACCACTGAACTCTCGCTTAAGGAACCCGGAGGCGCCACAGAGGGGACCTTGCCTGCGAGGCGCTCACAGCAAGGAAGGTGGGCTACAGACCTCGAATGTGACCTTGCTTCTCTTCTTCCCACAGGAAGACTACTGCAAGCTCCTCACCAAGTATGCTGAGGCTGAGAACACCATTGACCAGCTGCGCCTCGGGGCCAAGGTACTAGCTAGGAAGGCTGGAGGGCCAGGACCCAGGACTGGGGCTTTCCCAGAGTCCTTGGGAGCTAGGACTCCCTGGGGAGAGAGGAGACCCGTCTCCTCCTACTGCAAGGCCCCTCTGTGACATTAGGCTCCCTGGGCTCAGTCTCCCTTACTGTTGATGAGCTTTGATAACTAGAATCTGAAGTCTAGATTCAGATTGAATATTGGAATCTGAAGTGTATAAGAATTTTACCTGAAGCGCTCTCCCTCTAGATGGGCTAGATTCCATTACTAACCAGCTGTGTGACATTAAGGAAGTTACTGGAGCTCTCTGAGTCTCAAGGTTGTAGCTTGAATTTCTACCCAGCCCTTGGCCTATTTCCAGGGCCTATTCCTTTGGCTCATATCTTTGCCTTTCTCCTCTGTCTCTCCCACATCCTCTCCCTTCACCTGACTGGGATAACACCTCACGGTGTGGCAGGAGGGAGGAGGGTAATCCATCCATGCCAAGAGTTGACTGTCCCTCTGCCCAACCCCAACCCATCGACTGGGGACGCTAGGAATCCTGCTGTAGGACCTTCCTCTTTTAGGAGTGAGACAGGAATTGGGGCCCCTTACAGCCTCTGTGGCTTCCTGCTTTCTCCATAACCTGACTTGCCTCAACAGGCCACTGTGGAGGAGGTGTGGCAGCTTCGGGCAGAAATGCAAGCCCTCCCCTGCCACCCTACTCCCCCATTTCCTGGGGGCACCCCACCTCTTGCCCAGGTGGCTTCCACTCATACGCTAGGTCCCCTCCCCTACCACTTGCTGTACCCCGTATCTAGAAGCGCTTCCAGGAAGCGTGGGTGGGGGACAGCCATGGTGAGAAAACCAAAGAGGGCTGTGCTAGGACCCAGAGTCCTCATCTTCCCCACACCTGCTCCCTCTGATGTCACGCAGGCAGGTGCCTTCCCACCCTGGCCTCACTGGGCACATCTGTGGAAGGGGCTAATCAGATCTGTTCTGGGATGCCAGATGTCTCCACCTGATGTCTTAAGGCTTCTCCCAGCTCTCTCAAGCATGGACAGTGCATGGAAGGCTCAGGGGATCCCGCATAGATGTCCTGCTCAGAGCCTGTGTTAGGGAGCCCAGCTTCCACTGGGCCTCTGCTCCTCAAACTGTGCGATGGATGCTGGGCTCCCTCACTCTGCTCAGAACCCACAGCAGTAGAGGGAGGCTGGTCCCACCAGAGAAGAAACAGGCTGGCATTTGCCCTGGATACCCAGGCTGGGCCACTGTTGAGTGGAGGGGAATAGGGGGTGACACGCCAGAAGCAATCTGGTATTCGTTGAGCCCCACAGACCTCTAGGCCCAGGCTGAGTGTCTCTCTTTGGATGCCCTCCACATGCAGAACGGAGCAGAGCCAGGCTCGAGAGCTTGCTCAGCGTCCCACAGCAGGCATGAGAGGCAATGGGTCTTGACCTCAGCTTGCTGTGCTAGAGCAGGTGCTCTTTCTTCCCTTGGCCTAGGCAAGCTTGGCTCAGGCCCTGGCATGGTGTGTGGAGGCAGGCCTAGGGATAGAGCAGGTGGTGATGGCTATCCTGAGTCATTTACAGCTGAGCACAGAGAGGTTAAACAATTCAGCCAAGATTGCTCAACTAGGAGGAGCTGGAGCTGGAGTTTGAACCCAGGAATCTGGTTCTAGAGCCCACGTTCATCCCACTCTGTCAGAGGCAGCCAGACAGGACCCTCCTGGTCTAGGGACACCTATAGCTATTCTCCAGGCTGGGCTTTAGCCAGAGCTCTTGTGGATGTCACATTTTTGGGGAGAGGTTTTTTTTTTTTTTTTGTCTTTTCTTTTTTGGTGCTGGGATCGAACCCAGGGCCTCACGCATGCTAGGCAAGCGCTGTACC